GTAGTTGTTTTTTGCTTGCTAAGCTCAGAGGCATCTGCATCTACAATGGACAACTTTTTTGCTGCTAAGAGCACCTCTTCTTTGTTTGGAACAATGATGGCTCCTAGGCGTCGTTGATCCTGCACAGAACCGTAATATGTTAATTCAAAAAGGTGGGAAGCAGAGATTAGTGTGAAATGATGAAAAGAGAGTGCGAAGGCCACAAACAGTTTAGCAGCTTCAGAAAATGGGAATACAAATAGAATTAAATTACCTGGCCAACAACCACAATTTGTTGAATTAGAGTGCTTCTCAAGGCAGCCTCTTCAAGCTCCAAGGGTTCAACATTTTCACCTATGTATATATTTTTTTTTCCAAAGACACACTTACATGGTTATATAAAGGAATATTTTGAACAAGGTAGCATCTAAGATAAAAAGTATTGCAGTCAGGTTGCAGAGGCAGCATCGACCAGCTAACTTTCCGCTAGCATGACCATGTCCCAGATGCTGGACACTAATAGATTATCAAAATTCTACAAGTGTACATTATTCAACCATATACAAAAAATAAAAGTAACATATATAAAAAGAATATTTCTAGTGCATTTTCTGAGAGATTAAAGATTTATAATATTTGTTTTAGAGTGTGGCATACCATGCGACAAATGAGATGCATAAAAAACCAAGATGAAAACTTTAGAAACAATAGGACGGAGAGAGAATGCTTTTGAGTTAGTTTAGTTGTAAGAATGATTGCAGCTGTAGGACTATAGAAGTGAAGTTAGGCTTTCAATATACCAGTCGAAAGGACAATGGTGTCCTTAGAACGTCCTTCAAGAACAATCACACCACCACATCTACGACTCCGCCCACTTGAATGGTGAGGGGCAATCCAACCTAAATCACCAGTCGTGAACCAGCCATCCTCATCTAAGACTTGCTTTGTGGCCCATGGATTCTAAACCCAGCAAACAATAACCAAAATGAATCATATGCCGGGGGTACAACAATTGACACACATGTATCATGCTGATGGTAAAATAATTCAGAGACAATTTTAATTGACAGAAGTTAGAAAACCAAAAAGATTAAGCTGTTATAAACTTCTAACTTCTGCTTCATCTGAAAGCAATTATCTGACGAAACAAAGGCTACTCAGATTCATGATAGAAAAAAACTTCCTTCAGTTTGGTTATATATATTTTTCAGTGTTTGACATATTCTGATATTCACGACAGAAATGGACGAAAATTCACTGGGTTTTTCCAATCCTTGGCGTCCATACATCAGAACTTATCAAAATGTACTAACAAACACCGTCTTAAATTTGGATCTAAAATCTACTAAACTCATTTTGTAAATAAGCATAAATATATCCCTTATTTTGAGTCAACACAGCAGCCTAAGATTCCTTGATTATATCTAATGAATAAAACTAAAACAAAATCTAATATGTTGTAAAGATTCCAGAAAACATTGAGAACTTACAAGCACTTAACAGAAACAATATGTTTTCATCAATTATCTTCTTCACTTTGACATTTCTCAATTTAACTCAATGACAGTATATACCTTATAGTAACCTTTCATCACTGGAGGCCCTCTGACTTTTACAACACCCTTGAATCCGGGTGGGAGAACTTCATCTGTTTCAGAATCTACAATTCTGAATTCTGTGTGTTTAACTGGATGGCCAACCGAACCACGAACCTTCAAAAGTTAAATCTAAGAGACTGTTACATTATTAACCAATACATTTAAAAATGGTTGTAATTGAAACCATAGAAAAAAAAAATAATGAAAGAGACCAGATTAACTAGGATTACATAAAAGGAAAGAAGGAGAAATGGTAAAAGGGGTTTGTAACAGAAATAGCCCATTAATTTTAATAATACCATCAATAGATTATTGCATGAAAAGTAGGACTACTTGAGATTAAAAAAAAAAACCCTTAATGAATTAGAAAGCAGTCACTCAAATCAAGGAAGAATACTTAGTATACAACATGGTAGTTTTGTGAATTGATACTTAAAAGTATCATGCTTAACTTCAAATATAATAGAAGTCTCACACTATATATGCTACACAGTCTGTTGAAAGCTATCAAGTGCAGTCTAGACGATTTCTTTACTTATTCTCCTCAATCTGCTTAAGTGCTATCATGTGCGGCATTTCAAGTAAAACTTCAGATCATAAAATAGATGTGGCTTACATTACAGTTCAGTCGCCGAGCAGCAATGACAGGAGATGTTTCTGTTAAACCATACCCATTCTGGATATTCACCCCAATAGCCTGCATGAATTAGCCAGTAGCATAAGAGAAAATTACTACCTATCTTTTCTCTTGCATGAAAAGTATGTTTAAGCATCTAACCTCAAAAAATTTGTCAATGTGCAAAGCCAAACTACCACCTCCACTTATGCCTGCCTGCACAATGATTAATGATATATATCAACAAAAGCCCCAGAGAAGAACTGCAAATTACCCAATCACAGAGAAACTAAGAGCATGTACTAGTTCTTTTTCTTCTTGGGGATTGGAGATTGGGGGAAGGGGGGGGGGTATGCATCCCTCTATGTTTAACTTTATGTTATCATCTGATATCTAAAACAACTTAGAAGAGATTGCGTTACATAATTGGTCAAGCTGGCTACATGGTCTCCTGGAAAAGTTTATCACACTTTTCGTACAGGTAAGAGACCATAAAGCTAGTTGTAGAGTACTCACAAAAATTGAGCAGTAATAACGAGTATTTGCAACAAAGGAATAGAACCTTTGATATTCCAATGGCAGAGTGAATTTTATTATAGACAAGCTTCTTTGCCAACACATGAATTGGCCATAAGAGTGCAGCAATAAGTCTTGCCCACAACCAGTCTAACATTGAAACAAGGTATGAAGGTTGCTTCTGATTCCTTGTTAGACAAAGTCCCTATGAATCAAAACAAAATAAGAGAAATAAGTTGGATGTGTAACTTGTTAAATTAGGCATCATTTAAAATTTAGTAACTTTTTGAGTAAGATAAGCAGGCATCCATTCAAACTTACTCAACATTAGAATTACAACTTTGGAACATCAGTTAGTCAGTCCAGATAATTCCATGTGAAATTAGGAGAGCACAAATGGTAAGGTGACATAAAGACCAGTCAGAATCTACCTTGGAGGGTAGGTTTCAAGACTGAAACTTACTCTTACAAGGTAGTCTAAGTTCCATTTTGGAACTGGACAGACCCTGTCCATGCTCTTTTATGTCAATATGGTTGATGCCATTGACTGACAGATTAATAACCTTGTGCTTACAAAAAATAATCAATACTCACCTAAACTTAATCAAATATAGATTATTTTGCAAATCCCACCAAAAGACACCATTGGAAAATGAACAAAGGCAACAGTCATTGGTGAGGAAAATCAGCATTTAGAGCTCATTTCTGTTTTATTACCAAGAGCAAATATAAAAATATGGCACTCAAATTAAAAGAACATATGTCACAAACATGGAACCTGATAAAATATCATTTTTAGCAGGTTAAAAATTACAGATGGCTCAGGAATTCAACAAAAACAGTCACACTCAACCTCATGTATTCTCTTCAACTCCACATAAGCCAAGCTGACACTTATGAGGGTAAGGGCTATAATCTTACGAGCAGTGGAGCTTGTTGAAATCTGCTTTTGAATTCCACTGCAAAGAGAATTGAAATCATTTTAAGGGCTGCACTTATTGGAAAATATTGTTCACAGTGTTGTAGTACCACTAGCTAGTTGTGCTGAAGACTCAAGATTATTGCATAAGTTTTATACTCTAGATATGCATGTTTGCTCTCTAGTCAGGAAAAATAAAAGGAAAATGGTGACCCGTGTACAATAAAGATGTAAGTTGACTAGTTAGAACCTTCTTTTCATATGTAACTATTAAGTAGCCATATCCTCAGTAGGCTCCGTCCTACTTGTGGACGAGACAATTTTAACTTCTAACAAATTATACTAAAATTAAAAAAATAACACTTACTAAGAAACCAAAAAATTTATAGAAAAAAAAAAAATCTGTTCTTTATTGCTGAACAAGATCTCTACAGCTGCATAATATCCCTATCACTAGGAGGTCCAATTTCATATTCATGCTGAATCAAGGCCAAATTTTTTTTCTTTCTTCATAAAGTTCAAGGCATTTTGTGCCACTCAAACAAAATATAAAAAAGGCCATATGATAAGCCAACTGCCAACCCAACCAAACAAGTATTTTCACGTTTAAATTGTATTACCATGTAAATCCTAGCAAGTTCTTGCTTTTTTAATGTCATGTCATACAAAATAAATGTGAAATATGAAGTTCTTACAAGAAAACTCATTATTTTACGTGTGAGTTTGGAGTATGAATTGAGCTCCATGCTTTGTTTTCACTATAGCTTTTTGTTCTTTTTAAAATTTTGCATACTCCCAATGTGAGTTTATTCTACCTCAGTACCTCATATAAAACCATGCAGAGACTTTTACGAATATAATAAAGTTAATCACAGACTTTTTGTTAAGGCATGCTATAAGACAGGAAAACAAATATAACATTTATAAACAACTAAATAGTGTCAACTCATGTAACTTGTTTTCTTTTCTTTTTCCTTTTATTTGTTAAGTGGAATTCCCAAGAGAAGGAAGTACCTGTAGAGTGTTTCATATACTAAAGGTACAGAAATCAAGTAGTGAGGTTGATATTGTCGCAAGTCATCCTAGAAAATGAAAACAAATGACACAGTATCAAACAATGTGGTTAAGACATGCTGACAGCAATAGAAAAAATTTTATGTTATTCCTTTTACCAAATTTATTAGGAAAATTTTTTTTCATGCCATTCAAGATGTTACAGCAATCATAGACAAAATTTATGAAAAATACCTTCAAATGTTTGACAGTTGTGTATACTTGCTCAACTCCAAGCGTAAAGATGAAATACTCACATGCCCGCTCATACATATGCCAAGGTGGAAGCATACTTAGAAATCTATCTCCAGGTTCAGCAGGTACAATTTCCCACAAGTTATTTGTCTGGAGAATAGTTAAAAAAATATTAGAATTTGTATGAGATAGAGTAGGCCAAAAAATATTTACCTTAAAATGTAAAGGAAAAACATAGCAGAAGATTCTCTCCAGAAAAGAAAGCAACACATAACACAACTTCAACAATTTAGCAAAAGAAAATGCAAAGCAACAGCAAGAAAATAATACCTAGAAGAACTTCTATTTTTCTAAACAATCCTCTTTTGATGGACATTATGTCATAAAGGTCAATTAAACAAAAGACAACTACAATAGAGTGGAGCTTAGGATTTCAAGTTCTTCTTCAAAAGTCCTTCAATACTTGGTATATCTCATAAAAAATGATGAGGTACGAAGCACGAGCTTCTTTTGTCTAAGGGCAAGTGTGCATGGCAATGCTCAAGTCATTGCTTTAATAGTTTTGTGTTCAGAGAATTAATAATGAGCTTAATTTATGCTCCATTTGGTAATAATCTCTTTTATGGTCTAGGCCTAAATAAAATTGTAATGGATTAGAAATAATTGAATAGCCGCTGCAGCAGTAGAAAGTCAAGAAAGATAATGTTATTGACCTATTTTCTACAGAACTATTTGCTCCACTCCAGAGTAAAATATATGTATATTAAATGAAATGAGATGACAATGATTTCATTTGAATCGAAACTTTGTTATCGTGTGGAATGTGGAGTTTCCAAAACTAAAACAATATAGAAGCAGTTAGTTAGCAGTTAACCTGGTGCAGTAGATTTCCATGTGTAAGCATAACACCTTTTGGGTTGCCTGTGGTTCCACTTGTATACACAACAGTAGCAATGTCATCTGGGCTGATAGTTTCATATATATACTGCTGTCCTGAGATCACATCAAATAAACCAACTGTTAAAATGGTTTCAAACTCCAAAGCATCCTATTTCTGAAGAAAGATAAAGGTAACAACCAAAAAACCAAAAACTGATGACAATAAATTATTACTAAATTAATCTTGACTACTTCTAATATCTTTGCTACCTGTGTTATTTTTGTGCAGCAGGCATCTCAGGTTTAATCATCTCAATGAAGGCAAACTCTTGATACATATGTTTAAATACTTCAAAGAAAGAAAAACAAGCAGGCAACTAAATTGAAACAATTTTTTGTCCTTCACTTGTAGTGATTCAAGAATTTTATATAAAAAAAGATTTGATTAAAATTTTGAAATTATATCGAATCTTAAGAGAAGCATTTAAATACAGAACAAATTACATGTCACCAACCCCAAAATGGAAATAAATTTCATGAATCCTGGGTTAAACTCAGGTAAAATGGCAGTCAAAGTTCTTATGAACGGTTTAAAATCCTTCTGTTTGTGATGACTGAAAAATACCAGATAAGCAATGGTAAACTAAAAGTATTAGGGACACATTTATAATAAGTATTCCAACCAAGTAGCAAAACAATTTTGGCATGCAACAAATCAACTTACTAGCATCATAAGAACTGCAAAGAGCCTCACGGCTCACTCTTCCCAGCTCTACGATCTCCTTGTAACTAAAAATAGGTAAACCGTCCATCCCTTCAGTTGCCAGGCATGATTTCTCCCCCCAAAGTAGAACAACAAATCTCATTGACGCTCTGGAACAGAATTTCTCTGCTATCCGATTGAAAAATTTAGGGTTGTCTACAGCAAGTGCAACACTGCAGTAATAATATACAAGAATATAAAATCAGTAACTCCTGAAATTTGAAATCAAGGCAGAATATATCCAGATAATGAAACTTCAAAAGCAGTTGTGACTCTCATAAAACAATGAACTCTTAGATGATTAGAAAACAAACAAAATTTGTGCACCATTAGTGAGGTTCCACATGATTCTAAATCTCTGACATATATCAGCTATGTCCCTAATGATCATCCATTATACATGAGAACGGCAAAGGTGTTGTTACCTTAGTACACATTTTTCTCATGCAGGAATCAACATTAATTTTAAATTATTGAACATACAGAGAAACCTTTTTGTACCAACTAAAGAGAACAACTTCATGTCAGCAATTGAACTCAAGCTCAACTACTGCCATAAATCTAATGGAACATTGATAAAATTTTCAGAAAGTGAGTACATCAAAGCCAACAAGGATAAATCTTTATTCTACACCAGAAATTTTGTAGCAAATAGATTGGAATAACATGTACACGTGCAAATTTATCTATAGAAACGTAGTCAATTAGTCTTGTTCCAATTGGATCTATTTAAAACATAGTCGGTTCAAAACAGAGAAGATTACATGAAATGAGCAAAAAAACCATGCGCTGAGAGGGGGCTTTATCCCAAACCTATCTGAGTGATTGTATATTTGTACAAGCTCTTCTGCAGGTGACCTTGATCCTCTGACAACATTAATAGCACCTGCTGCCATCATACCTGCACCAAAATAATGCACAAAAATTAGTATGTAAAGCATTTTCCAACTAGGTTCAACATAAATAAAATAATTTTTCATTTATAAAAATTTCAGAAAGTAAGTCAATAATTAATTTACAAATGCTCCATACCTTGATCTGCAACAAGCCACCGGCACGAATTATCAGCAAAGAGTGAAAGTTTCTCGCCTGGCTTTATTCCAATAACTCTTAAGCCTTCAGCGAAGTCCAAAATGTCCTGCTCTAGCTGTAATGTGAAAGAAGTTGAGAACAACACTAGAGAAGACAATATTCAAGTTTAAAGTCGAGGTTCCTGCCACCTCACACCTATATCTCTTAATAATGAATTTCTTTACTGTAAAATCCAAAGAATATGACATGTAATCACATAAGTGGCACCGTGTTAACACTCTAATGGATGCAACCAAAAACAACTGATGTTTCTGAAATGTATAATCACACCCATATGATGGTAAAGCTAGAAATTGATAACATAAAAACAACCATAAAAGGAAAATTCACCTGTTTATAAGTCATCCTTGATGGTGGATCATGGTATGGATCTACCACTGCTATTCGATCACCAAACTTCTCAGCTGAAATCCTCCAAATATCAGGAACTGCTTTCAATTCTTCAGAAACCAATACACCATTACTTGAAAGATATGCCTTCTCTAGCAAAGGTGAGCACTTTCTTATCTTCAACTCCTCTGTCTATGTATCAGAAAATGGATATAAGGGGCCCTACAAGTCTTCCTTTTGTTGCAATAAACATATATAAACAACCTAAGTTCTTAATATTCAAATTTCCAAGCTTTTATCATTTTTCAATTAATAGAAAATTATGGTCCCACTTCATCTCCTCACGGGACACTCAAGACACTAAAATAAAAATTTTAAAAACCGGATAAACCAAGTAAAAAAAGAAAAATTCACAAAAGGGTATTGAAGAATCACCTTGGATTGGCAAAAGACTCGAAATTTACGAGATGGGGAGATTTGGAGTCTGTTTCCACCATATTTAACAGGGGAAGTTTTAGAGCACGGAAATTTAGAGCAACAGAGGAGCAAGTGAATAGAAGGAATATTATCGAAAGGAGATAACGAAAGAGTTGACGCCAAGGGTATGCTTGCCATCCTGTTTGCAGAAGGAGAAACAGTGGGTTGTGAGCATAGGGAAGGTGGTTCTCCTTAGAAATTCAATGAAATCAGGAATTCCACGCGGGAGAGAAACAAAGCGAGAATATCGAGAAGGTGAGAAGTGATGACGGTGTTAACGACTTAAACACCTCAGTATCAGTATAAGTCAGTGGTTATTTGAGTCGCATGACAAACGTAGCCCAAATAATGAATGAAAGAGAGTTGTTTATACTGTGCAATCAAAATTAAAATAAAAAGAATAATAAAGTGATGATGGTGCGCCTCAGTTGTAAGGGATTCTCCTTTCCATCTTGGAGTGGCTGAAGTAGCCAAAGTCTCAAGAAAAAAGCGACACCATTGACAGCGGCTCTCATCTGGCATTTATTTGGTTACTTTTGGTACTAAAAATTTTGACGTACACGCTTCATTGATCAGGATACCATTGCAATTGACGAATGGAATTGCATTATTACAAGTGACAATTCACCGCAAAATGCTCAAATCCATATATCTGAAGTGCAGTCACCACCTGGATATCTCATCTAGTTCAGCTCCTAAGTCCACAGAGAAATTTGGGTTTGTTGCAAGACCATCTTGTTCTGTGTCAGCATCCATTGGTAACATGTGTGATTCTTTATTGGCAAGTTAAGTGTAGAACTGGTTATCCCATACACTGAAGAGAGAGTTGGTGACATATAGCCCTTTCCCATCTAAGCTTAACTGGATCATCTGATGTCCCCCTTTAAGTCAATGCCACTGTTGTAAAAGCAAACATAAAGCTGCAGGTTAACTTTTAGAACAGAAAGAGGGAATTGCAGAGACCTAGATCTCAAGAACCTGATGTTGAATCTTGTCAAGACAGGATTTTTAGGGTCCTCATTCCTCAATGTCATGCAATATTACATCTCCATGGACCCAGTTCACAAAGTAGAGAAAACGATCGTCAAGAGAAATTAGAAAGTCAGTAATAAGCCCTGGCATCTCTGGAAGTATCCAGTTTTGCACTTTCT